TTTTCCATCTATTCTTGTTACTATTTTTTTTTTCCACAAAAATTTGTTCATACTTTCACGTTAACTTTTGCTTAACTAGGGGCAAATAATTCTTGCGTTCAACTTACAAGTCATCAGTCCTCCAATCCTCAAATCCAGAAACACACCCAGATAAACAATGAATACACCACTAACATTGAATGAGCAAGACTAACACAAATTAGTACGATTTTGACAACTGATCTTTAGGGCAGAAAAATTGGACCTTACAAGAACTTAAAATAACATACGCGAAACAAACAAAGGCTCAAATTTTCATTTCAATTCCAAAGACAAGAAATTGTGGAAATATTCATTTTCTTCTCCTTTATTGCGAGGGGGAAAAAAAAAGAAAATGCCATGAATATATGATACCTACTAATACCACTCAATTAATTGAGTACCTTTTTGGCTTGCTTCTTACTCCATCACTTCCTTCATCTTTTCCAATCGCCACTTCCTGGGTGTGGGACCCACTATCCTCATTCTCATCATCTTGCTTCACATCCTCAACCTTTACTTCCCTTACCTCCTCATCATCACTGCTATCTTCCTGGGTTTCTTCTCGATGTTGTTGTTGGGCGTCATCGTTTCTAAGTTCTGAGAGGAACGAGTCAATTTGCTCGCTTATGAAGGTTTTCCTGTCATGCAGACTAACCCCGAATTCCTCCTCGAGTTGGCGGCGAACGGAGCCAGCGGTGGCAATGTCTAGGTCGGAGGTTCGAAGGATTTCCCGGAGCCGATTTACTAGCTCCGACTCCGAAACCATTTTCACAAACTCTGTTTGTCAATTAGGATTAATGAGAGAGAGAGAATTGCAAATTTGTAACTGCAGCATGCAGCAGATGAGGAAACCTGCACAAGCCCAATTGAAGGGGGAAGACAAGAAAACAGAAGGCGTGCGTTGGAAACAAAATTTGTACCCGCTTTGTATATTGTGTGGACCATTGCTACTAGAATCTGGATTAACATGTGGATAAATGTGTACCATATTTTCCTATATTTCATCGATAACAAATTTTGTTCACATCCGAAAACGTCTTATTCACTTAATTTATACAAAAAATTTATTTGTTAGATCACCATTTTTATTTGGTTATTATCACTTTACCCCCTTAAACTATATTACTACTATCAGTTTACCTCCTAACGTTATCTTTCAGTCACTTCACCCCTATAAGTAATTCAACTCAACATGTTAAAAAATTTTGGACAAAAATACCCTTTTATTCTATAGCATTACTACATTATTATTATTACTTTATTCTTTTAAATTATAGTCATATAATCAATTTAATTTCTAACATTATTTTCTTGAAATTTTACTTCATCGTTAATCTAACTACTATGGTAAAATTTTTTTAAATATATTTACCAAAAATTTAGAATGATTATTCTTCATTTTTTTCACTTTAAGAGATCTAAAAATATAAAAATAAAAAAATTTTCTCAAATTTCTTTTTCACACTTATTAATACTATGAAAAAGAGATAGGAAAGAAGGAGACAAAAAAATAGATTTTGCAAAAGAAAGAAAAGTATAACATTATCGTATTAATTTAAGATTGTTGGGATTATGATTGAAATCTGGTGGTAAACAGTAAAGTGAAATAATTTTAAAATAATAAAAGTATTTAATTTTTTCTTATTTGTATTTTCTAAAAAAGAATTGAGCTCTCTCTCTATCTCTCTCTCTTCGTCCTGATCTTTCTATTTTTTTAATATTAATAAGATTGCTAAGAAGAAAGAAATTAATACTTTGACTTTTTTTCTTGATACTAAAGAAGAGAAGAGTCATTCTAAATTTTTTATTATTTTTATTACACAAAGAGGAGGGTACTTTCTTCTAAAGTTTTTTAACTTGTTAAGTTGGTTTAATGATGGGATAAATTGTCTAAAAAATAACTTTATAGGGTAAATTGATAATGAGATTATAGTTTATGGGGGTAAAATGATAATAATTTTAAGGGCGAAACTTGTCTTTTTATTTTAATTAACAAATTCCGTTAAATTTGACCGTTAGTCTTGGAGGTAAAGTAACAAAACATAACGTTGAGGGAGAAATTGATAGTGACACCGAACATTAAGGAGGTAAAGTGATAATAACCCTTTTTATTTTTTTAATAATGTAAATAGAAGAATTGGAATTCGACACCTTTTACTTATACTCTTTTCTTCAACCCACCCAATCCATACTTCTTTATGTGTTATATCACTTAATTTGTTGAATGATTGTACCAATAAAGTAATAATTGTATCTCACATGTGGATGCATTTTTCACACATATACATGTAGACTTTCTCTTACACACCATTTCCTTTTATAACACATGTTTTACAGCATAATTTCTTTGTCAAAAATATAAAATATGCATTTTCTTCTTTTGACAAATGCATTTTTACACACAAAACACATTCTCACAAACACACAAATATATTTTCCAATAATTAGTTTATTAATATTAAAATATGAAATTAAATAAATTTGTATCACAAAAAAATAAAACACAAAATTACTATTAAACTAACTTATACACATATTATAAAAATATTTCAATTCAAAGCTTATATCTAACTAATTACCAAATAAATTTGACTTTGCAAATTTAGCAAATTAAGACTTCAACAATTAAGTTTCAGTTTTTAAATTTCAGACTTGAATCTATTTGAGTTTTGGGTGTTTATATAAAGTTTTATTGTAGTTTACTCTAGAATTTGTAGAAAAACTTTTATGAAGAAATTGAATTTTCTTATTTTTCTTTTCTTTCTTGTTTTTTCTTTTCTTTTTGTCTCTCTTTCCTTCTTCCTCTTTACTCTAATCACTGGCTACCATCGCTACAGACATCTCCATTGCTGTTGTCTCTTCTTCTATTTTTCTGTCTCTTTTTTTCCTTTTCTCTCTGCAGTCTGCTCCTTCCTTTTCCCCCCAATTCTTCTTCTCTTCCCTTTTTTCTCTTCTCCTCCTTTTTCTTTTCCCTTGCCTCATTCCCTTTCCCTTTTTCACAAACTTGATCATTGACCAAAAGTTATGGGGGAGAAGGTAGGGGTGAAGGAAAGGGAATGAAGAGATGACAGGAGAAAAGAAGAAGGAAAAGAAGGGAGAGTAGAGATTTGATCATAGAGCCGGCTTTGGTCGAGCGACCAAAGATAGCAAGCGGGGGTAAGAGAGTGGGTGTAAAGAAAGCAGGAAGAAGGAATAGGGAGAGAGAAGGGAGAAAGGAAGGAAGAAAAGGGATGGATGAGTAGCAAAAGAGGAAAAAAAAAAAGGGCAAGGCAAAGTAGGAGGATAATGATAAAAGAATGTGTTTTAGAGATTATTGTAAACAAGTTGGAGAAAAATTTTGTCTACAAAAAAGATGCAAAAAATAGGCCTTCCAAGCAAACCCTTAAATCTACAATGACAGCATATATTGTGATTTGCCCAATCGAGTTCAGGTTACTTTCTTCATGCTCAAAGTTGAAAATCATTAACTACATGCTTATTTGATAAAATTGTTAAGTTGCTAAATTGATTAAGCTATACTTATATCCATTTGATAATTAACTGAATTCAAATATTGCAAAAATAATATGTTTTTATCATTAAAAGGTTGCCTTTATTTATGTATTTGGAGAGAATGAAATGAGCAAGTGTGTGTGACAGAAAACAACAAAACAATTTAGAGGTGGCATATTAAGTGTGTGTATTTCTGTGTGTGAGTGTATGTGTCGAACAAAAAAAAAACAAATATGTACTTTGTGCGAGGAAATGTATAAAAGTGTGTCATATGATGAGAAGTGTAATATGTATAATTAATTCAGAAAATTTAGTAAAAATTTCCACTTAAAATTTTATATACAAATTAAGTAGTGCTTAATACGGTTCTGTTTGATAAAATTGAATCTGAATTCTGAAATCCGAATAGTGAAACAGTTAATTTGTTAAAATTTAAACATTGAAAAAAATACATGAATGTCTAAATTTTAATACTAAATCTATATATACTGTTTGATAAATATCTATAACTAAGTGCTTAACAAGCTAAATTGTACAATTTTACACTTCTATCTTTTCATTAAAAAAAAAAAAGAACCTTTGATTTAATTAACTTAAAATTGTTAGGTATGAAAATGATAATAATTATTTTTAAATCAAATTAATATAAAAGATGAAGTATATTATGAAAAAAAACAAATTTGAGATTGGTGAGTACAGTAATAGCAGATAAAAAAAAGTGACAGAAAAAAAATTAAAATAATGAAAGAATAAAAAAAATGCAAGGAGTATGAAGAAACTGTAAAAATCATTAAATAGAACAAAAAAGAAGTATAAAGCAATTAAATAGAGAATATCATATTGTTTAATTATATAAGAATTTTGAATATAGTTAACAAACAAGGGTACATTTGGTAGATAAAATAAAATGATTAAAGTAAATCTGTTGATTCTAATCAGAATTAAGCATCTAATTATGATTCTTGTGCTGACAAAAATACACACAAATTCAACACCGCTTAACAAATTCAGTAGATGAATTTTTATTTGTTAAATATCTAAAACTTCTAAATGTCTAAAATATTCAGTTTCAACACTTTTTTATGTTATCAAACAAACTCTAAGTGGTAAGATATTTCTGTTATTAGACATGCTAAATTGAAAAAGTTTGAATGAATTAATTGTCAATATTAAGTAGAATTATCAAACTAAACTCTACACGTCCAACTAACACTACATTTAAAGTCTTATTCATTGTTCTAAGCCACCCATCCAACTCCTTAATAATGAGCCCCAAGATGGATCTTTGGACTGAATTTGATTTAAAATTTTCATAATTTTATTACAAAAAGAAGGAATATTTAAAAGATCTACTTACTAACTTATAATTGAGCAATAAGTACAATGGAAAAAGGGTTGGATTGAATGGTTCTGGAGGAGAGATTGTAAAGTGAGAAATCTTGGGCTCGTAACCTCCTATTACACTATTAAAAAAAAAGCAACAAATACAACAACAATTTTGACTAGTATTAGAAAGTTCTTCCTTACATGTGGTGATTAAAAAAAGGAAGGAACACCAAAGATTAAATAATTAGTACCATATGGTGCTTAACTTTCGTTATTCAAATGGATGGAATCTTGGACAACTGAAAAATTGCTGCCATAACCACCATTTCCTGAGGGAGCCTCTCAGGAAAGTAAATTTGGTTAGCCTATGTTGTTAATCAGTAAATTTGGCTGTAACATTCCTAAAGCAGATGTACTGGGTAATATTTGGACCGTTGTAAGTGTTGAACGCTACACAAAATACTAGTTACAAAGAGGTCCTATAAGTTGTCATCCTCACCGTAATCAGAAGCATTTTCATCATAATCAGAGCCGCTCTCAAAGTTAATGTTTTGGTTTTCTGCTGTTTCAGAGGGGTTTACACTACCTACTTGCAGAACATCTTTCCAATCATCAAGAATGAAGGGTTCTACTAGGTTCCAAAACCTTGAAGCATTGCTCCCTTGAAAGCCTATCAAAAACACCCTTCCCTTCCTTTTTACCCTGTTTTCCAAAGATCTCGTCTTCAATGCTTTCAGAACCCTCGCAATGCTTTCTTGACTTCCCTTTAGCTTCAACAGAATGTCCCCTCCCGGCGTCCTATGGCCACCATACATATACCAGTATGCAAGGACTCGGGGTGACAACCACCGATGAATTAGCTTCGGAATCGCAGGCTGACTGTTAGGCCAGAACTGCTCGGCATAAAAAGTAAAACAAGAATGTGAGATGGTAGTAAAGTGAAATGGAGTACCATCAACCCCATCTACTGGATTTCCGCAGTCCAACCATTCATGGTACTCGTCATGTATATGTCTCTTCAAAACAGAATGAATACCCGACTGTTCATTAAACTCAAAAGTAATGGCAAATTTCCTGTTATCTTGACCTGATGCCATTCTTAAACCACCCAAGAGCATCCCGACTAAGATCTCTCGCTGGACATCATTAAGCTTCAACTTTGGGGGTGTTCTGACAACTTCTCTACTCAAGCTAAGAGTATAATCAAGCTTCTTTTTTAAAGCAGGCTCGATTTCGTAATTGTTGCGGTACATTAAATCGAACATCTTTTCTATCTTCACATAATCTCCACAGGAGAGATAGCCCTTCAACATTGTGTTACATGACCTAGCATTAACACCAACTGTGGCGTTACCATACATTTGGCTGAAGATCTCTTCCGCCCTCTCCAGACTGCCAACTTGTACAAGTGAATCTAAGTAAATGTTGTACATGGTTCTGTTCGGCTGACATTTCTCAAGGCACTGGATGAAAGCCGACTCCAGCTTATCATGCAAGCCTAAGTTGGAATACATAACCATCAAATGGATAAAAGATGGTCTGAGGGGTTTCAAGCCACTATTTATGAACTCTACCATAAGAGACTCAACCAGTTCTGTATTTCGAGCTTTAGACAACACCTCTACAATTTTGTGATATGCCATAATACTTGCGGAACCCAAAAGCTCCTGCATACTCCTGAACACTCCCAAAGATTTCATGGGTTCGCCAACCTTTGCATAAACTTCCATAAGGTACACAAATGCTTGTGGTGGAGGATCCTTATTGAAGGACAGAAGCTTATTCCAAGTTTTTTCTGCTTCCTCTAAATCTCCTTCATTAGAGCAAGCTCGTAAGACTGACACCAGCACCTCTCTGCTCTCTTCAAATCCCTTTGATTGCATTTCAGCTCGCAATGATGCAATCCTTTCCATATCTATGGCATCCTGATAGCTGTGAAGCCATATAAGGCTGCCGTAGATGTCCTTGTGCATTTCAAGTCCAGAAGTTGTCAAGTCGTGAAATATAAACTCTGCCTGGGCAAGTAGGTGCCTACAAGAGCCTCCTGGTTTGCTCGCAAGAGCTCTGAACAAGGAATTGTGCAAGTTGAGTCGAGGCTTATAACCTCCCAACTGAACCATACCTGTAAATATGTTGCATGCTTCCTCTAGGCAACCTTCAGCAGAAGAACTAAGATAGGCAACAGTCAGTATATGATACGTGGATTCGCTAGGAACTCGTCCTTGGTTAAGTATATGATCAAAAATCTCCCTACATTTCAAGTACTTTCGCTCCTTACCCATGTAGTCAGCTAACTTGGTTGCAAGACCAAAATCAAAACGGAACCAGTGTTGCTGCATCATCCATTTGTAAACCTGAAAATACAAGTTCCTAGTATTATCAGTTCAGCGATCAAATAGCAATCCTCGTGCTTTGGGAAATGAGGCAGCTGGAGAGGCGTAAAACAGGCAAGTCTCCCCGTAGTTGCAGTTAAATGGGAGGGGCCCCAAGGGGGGGGGGACCTATGTATCCAAACTTGCATCAAACGATCATGGAGTAAACTATTTCACTCATCCCTCTACGAAATAATCGTAAAGCTTTCAAAATTCTAATGCTAAGAATTGAGTCTTCGAGCAGAAGAACATGGAAGCGTACTCTTTTTTTTTTTTTTTTTTCAATTATTCAGCAAATATAATTTGATATACTTGATAACTTGGCAGGAATAGCAGAAGTTATTCATTAACTTGGTAATGTGGCCAACGATTGAATAATGGAGTTGAGCTGAACAGAAGCTCGAAATGATCAACCTTTTTAGCTTAAAATAGATGGGGAAAGAAAAAGAATTTACCCTAAAAGCGGTCTCATTTTCGCGAATGCGGATACAATGAACTACTACATAAGCAGCATCATCTTGCCTCATCCATTTTCTCTGGGAATTCAGGAGCCGGATCAGCGTCCCGTGATTATGCGCCGGCAACTCCTTACAAAGCCAAGCCAATTTTGACCGGCGCCACTGTTCCGGAAGCTCATCAAGTTCTTTAACTTGAACGGTGGGCGAGTCGAATCGCCTCAACTCAGTCGACTCAAACGGACCATCAAAATCGAAACCTTCCGTCTCCCCATTTTTCAGTATCTCTAGATTGTCATCATCGGGTAGAGATTTTTCAGGCGAGCGGTCCAACTGTTGAACCGAAGTAGTAGCTGAGACGGAATAGAGAGGTGGAAATGTGATGAAATGGAGGCGGAGCGAGGGACGGAGATAGAGATAGCAGGGGAGAGCGAGGGACGTGGGAAATTTGGAGGATTGGGTCGGGCAAGTCCGGACATTTGGAAGAGGAGTTTGGGCTGAGCTGGAGAAGGGGCTGCTCAGAAGCAGCATGATATATGGGACGTCTACAGAATAGAGTTTGGCGGGGAAATGTGGGAGGCTGCCTCCGACGACGGCAGCCGGGAGCTAAGGAGCTTTAATTTGGTAGTGGTGGTCCCGGTGGATGACAAAGTAATCTGATCCCTCACCCGGAAAGTAATCCATCCACACACATTCTTGCTTACTTCTAAATGCAAACAAGTGGAAAGGCGGTATATAGAATTTTAGATAGAGTGTAAATAGATTGGAGTATGATTTAAAAAAAAAAAACAATTATAAGTAGTAACTTTTTTGTTTTTCCGGACACGATAATTATTGTATAGCCTATTTATCCTAAACTACAGGACTACAGGTGAGGGGGAGCCTAAAGAGATTTTTTGCATTAGAAACTAGTAAGTACACAAATCTGATCAGATCAAGAGAATTTTGACACAACTTTTAGATTTTTTTTTTTTTTGCTACAAAGGAGATTTAAACACTCACCTACAATTAGAAGTAATAGCCACTCTACCTCCAGTTGGACTAAAATGGAACATATGAGACAGACCTCTGATCCGTCTAGAATTGCATATGACTTGTTTTAAGATGAGCAATAAACTACAAAAATAAATAAATATAAAATATATATATATATATATATCTCTTTATATTATATAAGAACGAGTTTAGAACAAAGAAGGTTTTTAGATTTCAACCGTAAGGGTGTGGTTATTTTGGGAATGTGAAAGTGTTTGAAGTGTAATTGTAACATTGAGTACAAGTCATTATAGCTTTAATTTCACTATCATTACTTATATAACCTTTCAAACATTTAACGTTAGGGGCATGTTTGGTATATTATAATGTTTGGTGCCAAGTTGAATATCAAATACAACTAAATTAAGCTTGTGTGTTGATAGAATTACATAAAAGTCCATTTAATCATTTATTATACTAACATTCAAGCCTTCCAATTTCCTGAAACCTTTCTCACCGTTAAGGAATTAATTGGATGTTTATATAATTGGATTTTAATTACAATTAATTAACTTAATTATTATCTGAACAATCATTATCATATTTATGCCTCCATGTTTAGCCGATACCCTTTCTTCTTTTTCGGTTTCACCCATTTAATTTTATTATGACTATTAAATATTTAGTGGAATGCGTAACTTTTCCTTTAAATTGAGGTGAGTTCTTTGGATTTGTTTTCTTCGATTGTAGTTTTTTTTTTATGATGATTGGTTTATTCAAGAACTCCATATAGTTTGCTTTTTGATACTTCTAATTCCAAAAACTGACTAATTGTACTGTTTTCCTTAGTAGATCCCAGAGATTCTGTCTTTGGTCAAAGTACAAATTGAAATAATGTTGTCACTTTCTAAAATAATCAGAAAAAGTAATTTTATCATTTTTTCTTCCTCGGCCAAGGTATTATCTCTTTATTTAAGTCAAATAACCTTATTTCTCATGAATTTTCTCCTATTGTTCTTGACTCTAGGGATCTGTTGATTACATTCCAACAGTTATGATTCAAGTAGTTATTTTTTTCATGTAATTTGATTTGGAATTCAGCTTGTGTTTATTTTAATTGAAAATTTTATGATTGTAAAATTTATTAACTTAGAAATTTGTACTTCATTGAAACTAAAAAATAAAATTAATCATGCTACATAGTACTAAGATGTCATTTGCGCTCTATTTGCTTTCCATGTTATGATCTTGTTCTTGTATTCTACTGTTTATATAGTTTCAAATACAAAAAGTTTGCTTTTTATGCTATCTAAAAGAATTTGTAGTGGAATTTGATGAGTTTAAATGCTTTAGCTACGGCACCATTTTGACTGCATTGTATTAATTCATTTACTCATAATTGTATATTGTACAATGATAAATAATATTTCTTGATTTGATTGAAACAACTATTATCCATAGTTCAAATGAGTCAATCAAGTAGAGATGTTATATTGGATATTTATACAAATAAACATTGAAAAATATCATTAAGCAGTTTCTACGTATAGTTTGCAATTTGAATTCATATGAGGAATTTCTTCTGATTTTAGTTACCATTTTCTACAATTTCAAATTTAGAAAATATGATTTGAACAATTTTTTATACTTAAGAGAGTTTTAATTCAGATTTTTAACAATTATGCAGATTTGAACTTATTTATGAGATTATAAAGAAATGCCCATAACAAAAAACACCAAATCTGAATAGTTTCTACAAAATTTTAAAAAAAAATCACTTAAGTTTCTTATTTATCTATCATTTTTGGGTATTACTATCTCTATAAGAAACATGTGATTAAGTCGTATTATACCCACCAAATTATATAAATAGTTAGTAAAAAAAAATTATTTTAGATTAGATTGGACGCAAAGTGATTGATGGATAAACTTGACTTGATAATTCAGGATGAGCTTAAGTCGAGGGAGAAATCAGAAGCATTGCTTTAGGGATCTTTCATGAACATATATAGATTCGAGAGATGAAAGATCCAATTGATACTTCAAAATGTTTTATCATTTTTGATAAGTTTTAGAAAAGACCTTTGGATACTTTTCAATTGCACTTCAAACATTCCTACATTTTCAAACTACCCTTATCTTTGCAATTGAAATTCAAACATAACATTTGATCACAACGGATTCTTATATAGTATAACGATAAAGATATCTCATTGCATATTATTTTTATTGACTCACTATGTAACTTATAATTTTTTTATTAAAATCACATGATAAAATCATCATACTTTAGATCCTATACTACAAAATATTAAACAATAATTATTAATTATCTTGAATTATAAGCACCAAATTTCCGCGCATCACACGGGCTGTCCCTCCCTAGTGTATATATATGGAGTTACCTCTTGCAAATTCCATGTCCCCTTTCGCTTGGATGGTGGTACGTGCTGTATCCATGGTTGTCAATGACACTATTTTATTTTATTTCCCTGATGATTTCTTTAACACTTTGAAAAGGAAGATTTTCCTTGGTGCATGAACTGGCATCAACACTCACATTCATGATACGGGATGGGCTTGGACCCAAAGAAAGAATTTTAATGCCCATTATCTAACAAGTTCGTTGAATGAGGCCACGATGCCATTTAGTGACATACAGAAATGGGCTAACCGCCCACTGAATGTCCGCCACCGCCGCCCTACAAAAATCTCTGATTGGACCAGCAGCCCTGACATCCGGGGCCCCGTTCCTTCATTTCATAAAGAAACACTCCTAAAAGGAAAAGGGACCACAGGAAAGAACCTTTTGGCATTTGCCGCCAAACGACGCCGAACCACATATCACCACTTGTCGGCAATTGTCGCCAAACTCTTCCTCGCGCGCCGCTCCCCGCCTCAAAGCTTATCCATCCACCAATTGAAGGTCACTTTCGTCATTCCAACGCAGCACCACCCTTTCACACTCGGCCCATTCTCGTCATTTCCACACCAATTTTCAAATCCATCTTACGCTTTACAGTTTACACTGATTCAGAGGAGCAACCACCAGTTGCCTGTCCGTCCGTCCGTCCGTCCGTCCGTCCCCAATTTTTTAAAATGGGTCCTTCTATCATATTGGATTCCCTCAAGTTTAGCATAATTGCCAGGGACCCTGTCAAATTTATACTATTGGCTTTCCTTATTTTCTGCAACATGTTTATTAGTACTATTAAATTTTGGGGTTGTCTCTTTATCATCTAACTTTTATTAGCACATTTAGTTAGAATTCTTAAAATATGTAGCATTCAATGTAATATTCAATATACCTTTTTATACACTATTACTTTCGCATCCACGATGAACTCATATAACATGACATAAAAGTAAATTGCAAGATATGTGCTGAACGTTATATAGTTATTAAACTCTGGATATCTTTAGCGATGATCATAAAGCATTGCATTCAAAATTGGTTTCATAATCATTGGAATTGAGTCTGAATGAGCTTTAATCAAGTTAGACTTAACTTAAATGCATGTAAATTTATTATTTTAAATCAGAATAAGAGTAAGGTCAACCAAAAATAACTATTCTCAGTTATAATAGAATGAGATTTGAATGTTATCAACATGATTACGACATTTTTTTCCCGTCCCTTCATCCCCGCCTCATAAATAGTGGCCAAAATGTACTCATATTTTTGGAGATAAAATACGATAAATAAAACAACAGGATACACAAAGAATTTCTCAAGCTACCAAGTTCTGTATGACTAGCTGATGGACTATAAATTATACTAAATTATACTGGAGAACCATTTTGTGGAGTTCAAGTTGGTCCAAAAATATATATAAAAAAAGAGAGTAGTAGTGCATGTTTTGTTTCGTTCTGCTATTTTTCCCCCCTATTGAACGCCTGTACAAGGAGCCATCTTTTTATTTTGCTATTCGATGAGACGTTGATGCAATTGTAAGAAACTTGACGGCAACTCGACTAATTTACCCAAAAAGCCTATTTCCCCTTCGTCAGAACGAGTTAACGAACCTCCTACCAAACACAGAGAAAATGCAGAATAAGCTAAAGCTAAAAGGTGAACAGCAAAAAAGCACTAAACTTCACGAGCTTACACTCTCTATATAGATGTACACATGTATATATAGCTATACAGCTTCGTGTGAATTGATGATGACGACGATCATGAAATTGATGTACTAAAAGAACCTAGAAACAAGAAAAAGTGAAACTCGGTAGTAGAGTTGTGGTGGTAAGTAAAACCTTCACGGGCTTGCGGCCTTGCTTTGAGCTCATCAACCATCCTTTTTAAGGTCTCTATCTTCGAACAACATACAAACAATTATTTACTTGGATTCTGTGATCGACAGCTTGCCAGTTGCCACTTTGGCTTGCGGGGTTTTTGATTTTTATTGTGCTAAGGGTTCTTGTTTGGATGAAGTTTGAGTCACGTTTAGCTGCTTGTTGTGGATTGATGATTATGAACTTATGATAATGGTGTTTGGGGTTTGAATTTGGGATTGAAGAAATCAGGGTTCGGGCTTTTTTGGGTTTGAGTTGGTTTTCTTTGGGGCAAATGGATCGAGCGGCGTTGACTGTGGGGCCGGGAATGGATATGCCGATTATGCACGACAGCGATCGCTACGAGCTGGTGCGGGACATCGGTTCCGGGAATTTTGGAGTGGCTAGGCTCATGAAAGATAGGCAGACGAACGAGCTTGTGGCCGTTAAGTATATTGAGAG